TGAAAATGTAGCTGCGGCCTAGGCGGCGCAGGGGGGGCGCGCACCAGGGGGCCCAACAATAATTATTCTTTAGAATAAATAATGTTCAACAACAACAACAACAACATCAACAACAACAACAACAACAACAACAACAACAACAACAATAACAACAACAACAACAACAACAACAACAACGCAACAAGCAGAACCCTCACCACGGATTCTCACTTCAGCCACGCACCCAGGGACAATGAATGACCGTTCGGCCCCCTCACTCTGATATATATATATACATACATATATATATATATACAAATGTATATATATATATATATATGTATATATGTGTACATACATGTGTGTTAGCTTTGGTTGAGCTTTGCTTTCGCTCTGTCTGAGCATGATTCTTTCTTTCTTCGAGCTCACGACGACGACGAAGACGACGACGAGGGAAATAGCGACGGCAACGGCGACGGGCGGGGCATTAAATGCAACCTTCACTCGGCGATGGGACAAGGTTGGGGGAAAATATATCACAACCACTGGGAACGCCGCTCGGGCGGGCGGGATATTAAATGTTACGGGTGGGGGGAGGGGGGGATCTCCTCCCCCCCTGGTTCGAACCGGGGGGGGGGGGGGGACCGGGCGGGGGGCCCAGGGCGGCCAGGGCCAGCCAAGGGCGGAGCTAGGGCCAAGGCCAGGTCCGGCCGGGGCCAGGGCTGGGGCCGCCTCCCCAAACCCCCGCCCAGCGGTTGGAATGGGGAAGGAATTCTACCCCACCCTGTTCGAACTGTGGAGGGGCTTGCCAGTAACTGTAGAAAGGTTTCGCAGATTATAAAATGGAAAGAGGAGCCTGGGGAGATGCAACGGAGCTCCAAGAGGCGCAGGAAGAAGCCCAAGACGACTGGAATCTTCAAAGCCCTATGTGTTTTACTTGGTTTTTTGCTCATCGGGGTTTGCAATCGTTTTGAACCCAAAAGAAGGTGGAGAGGCATCCGGAACGGCCCAAGGTGGCCAGAATGACCGGCAAGATGAGCCCAGGAGGGCCCCGAGAGGCCCCCCCAAACCGGCATGGACATTCCTTCTTGAGCCCGCAGAGCGGGAGTCACGGCGGGCCCCCAGGGGGAAGCTTGCACGCAGATTGTGCAATCAGTGAATGTTAAGGATATACTGCCTCGACGAGGGTCGGCACCAATCATTGCAGTGTTTCTTGGGGGCACATTTGCACCCCTCGGGAGATTAGGCGGTCCTGGCGGCCAGCTACGCGACTTGTGCGGTCCATGGGATGCGACGTGCGTTGGGGGTGTGCCGCATTGAGGCTCCAAGGAACCGTCTCCGGGGCCAGCTGAGCGCGCAATATTCACGAAGAGCGTGAGGGGTGTGCCGAATGGAGGTCCCCATCAACATGGAAAAGGACATTCAGTATGATTCTCACGTCCCCCAAGAGCCTCGAGGGCAAATCACTGTATGTTTTACGTGTCCCAAGATGATGTCAGAGAGGACATGCGTGAGCGGGAGTCACGGCGGGCCCCCAGGGGGAAACTTACACGCAGATTTACTGACTCGACGAGGGTACGTGCCAATCATTTCATTGCAATGTTTCTTGCGTCCCGTGGGGGATCGGACGGCCTCTTGAGTCTCTGGGAAGGACGAGGCAGGAGATGCGTCAGGGTGTGCAGAATTGAAGCTTCCGTGACCCTGCGAGTTCAAGCCGCTCGAATGTCCACGTGTCCTGCGGCAGCGTCAGACAGGAGATGCCCTGAGGGGTGCGCCGGAGCGAGACGCGCGCAGCCCTCGGGGCGTGGAGCACACGTGTTTCGTGCGTCCCAGGAGCCGTGGTGCAGCCTCGCCCTGCGGAGTGCGCGAATCTCTTCTCGGCACGCCTTGCGCATGCCGGCCTCGTCATCCCATCATCCCATCATCTCGTCTTGAAGGAGGAGCATCCCATCTCCTCCTCCTCCTCCTCCTCCTCCTCCTCCTCCTCCTCCTCTCCTCCTCCGGCCTTACGCAGCATCATGCCATCATCTCGTCTGGAAGGTTGACGCGGCGTGGGCCCGCAGGGGCCCCGCCGACCTCCATCGCATCGCTCCTTCCGCCAGTCCATCTTGCATCGCTGTTGCTCGGTTGGCGTGATCGTGGCGCGCGAGAGGGAGGAGGGGGAGGGGGAGGGGGAGGGGGAGGGGGAGGAGGAGGAGGAGGAGGAGGAGGAGGAGGAGGAGGAGGAGGAGGAGGAGGAGGAGGAGGAGGCCTCTCGATGGCTTCTTGGGGCACTCTTAAGGCACCCTTGGGGCCAGAGTGAGACAGAGCCCCTCCTGAGCCCGAAGAGGTCCTCATGTCGTCTGACCCTGCGAGAGAGTGACCTTTGGTGCGCGGTTTTGGGGGTGCCGCGTTGGAACCAAACACGTGGGCGCAAGACGCTACTATCGCATCGCGTTCGGCGATCGGGGGACCCAATGGGCCCGCACCAACGGTCACTCCAGCGAAGGGTCACTCTTACACGTCCAGTCGATCCTCCTCTGGATCAGGGAAAGAGCGCGCTCGTGGCGCACTTCTAATGAAAAGGGAAGCACCAGCTTCAAGCTACCCCCCCCCCCAAAAAAAGGGGGGGGCTTCCAAAGCTCCCCCCTCCCTCCCCACATCTTGTGAACATTGTTTAGCTGGGGGGCCTTAGCTCGAGGGGGGGGGGCTGGGAAGCTAACCCCCCCTCAAGGCCCGGGGGGGGCTTCCTAAGCTACCCCCCCCGTTCCGTTCGTTTGGATTTTGTAGCTGGAGGGTCCCTGGCTAAAGGGGGCGGGGCTTGGAAGCTCCCCCCCTCCTTTTCAGGGACTGGGGTAAGCCCGGGCCCCCGTTTCCAAAAGAGGGGGGGCTTCCGAAGCTACCCCCCTCCCCTCCTTGGTTGGCTCTTCCAGCCAGAGGGCCCTGGCTGAAGGGTGGTCTCGAAGCTATTCTTTGGTTTTCGGCGCCCCGTTGGTCTGCGGCGTACTTTTGGTTTCCGATGTCTCTTAGGTTTTCGGCGCATCTGTGGCTTTCGGCGCATTTTGGGCCTTTGGCAGCTCCTTGGTTTTCGGCGCTCCTTTGGTTTTCGGCTCTCCTTTGGTTTTCGGCGCTCACGTGGTTTTCGGCGTTCCTCTGGTTTTCGACGCCCTTTTCAGTTTCCTGCGCACCCTTTATGGTTTTGGCACATCGTTGGTTTTCGTGGCCCCCTTGGGTTCTGGCGCTCCTTTGGTTTTCGGCGCTCTGTTGGTGCCCCTTTAATTTCTGCGCCGTTTTGGTGTTCGGCGCTCTTTGGTGTTCGGCGCCCCTCGGTTTTTGGCGCCCTTCGGCTATCTGCGAGTCGTTCTTTTTTGGCGCCCTTTGGTTTTCGACGCCCTCTTGGTTATCGGCGCGTCTTTGGTTTTCGGCGTCATTCTGGCTTTCGGCGCATCGTTGCCGTTCGGCGCTCCTTTGGTTTTCGGCGCCTCGTTGGTTTTCGGCGCCCCTTCGGTTTTCGGCGCACCTGCGGTTTTCAGCGCCCCTTCGGTTTTCGGCGCCCTTTTGTTTTCGGCGCCCTGTCCGTCGTCGGAGTTTCTGTTGTTTTCGGCGCCCCTCTCGTTTTTCGGCGCCCTTTTGGTTATCGGCGCCACTTTGGTTTTTAGACGCCCTTTTGGTTTTCGGCGCATCGTTGGTTTTCGGAGCGCCTTGGGTTTTCGGTTTTCTGCGTCCTCTTGGTTTTCGGTGCTCCTTTGGTTTTCGGTGTCATTTTGGTGTTCGGTGTCCTTTTGGTTTCTGGCGCACCTTTGGTTTTCGGCGCACCTTTTTACATTCGGCGCTTTGTTGGTTTTCGTCCTCCTTTTGGTTTTCTGCGACCACTTGGTTTTTAGCGCTCCTTTGGTTTTCGGCGCCCTTTCGGTTTTCGGCGCTCCTTTCGTGATCGGCACCCTTGTGGTTTTCTGCGCCCCTTTGGTTTTCGGCGCTCCTTTGGTTTTTGTCTCGCCTTTTTGGTCGTTGGTGCCCTTTTGCGTTTCGGCGCTCCTTCGGCAGTGCTTTGGTTTGTGAGCGCTTTGGTTTTGATTCGCCGTTTCGATATTGGGCGGCGGAAAGGGGGGGGGCAGGGGGGTGGTCTGGCTCCGGACCTCTGCTTAGCGCGCCTGTTTGCAACAGGGTGGCCTCTGGGGGGGACTCCACCCGCTCGAAACAGGCGCCAAAAAACAGCCACGATCTAATCCATTTTGGGGGGGGAGGGGGGGTTGGGGGCCCGAGCCGATCGGCAAAACAATGAATAAAAAACTATAACTTTTCGGTGGCCTGTAGGTGTTTGGCGACCCTTTGGTTGTTGGCAACCTATTGGTTTTCAGCGCCCCTTTGGTTTCTGGCGTCCTTTTCAAGTTCGGCGACCCTTTTGTCTTTTTGGCGTCATTTTGGGTTTTGGTGTTTTTTGGTGTCCGGCGCCCTTTTGGTGTTCGGCGCTGCTCTGGTTTTCGGCGCCCTTCTGGTTTTCGGCGTCTCTTTGGTTTTCGGCGCCCCGCTGGTTTTCGGACCTTTTTTTGTTATTGGTGCCTCTTTGGTTTTCGGGTTCGTTAGGTGTTCAACACCTTTAGATTGTCGGCGCCCCTTTACTTTTCTCTGCGCTCTTTTGATTTTCGGCGCTCCTTTGGTTTTCGATTCCCTTTTGGTTGTTGGCGCGCTGTTGGTTTTCGACGCCCCTGTAGTTTTCAGCGCTCCTTTGGATTTCGGTGCTCATTTGGTTTTTGTATCGCATCTTTGGTTTTCGGCGCCGTTTGGTTTTCGGTTCCATTTCGGTTTTCGGCGTTTCAAAGGGGGGAGGGTAGTTAAGCTCCCCTTCTGGAAATGGAGGGGGGTAGCTTCCAGAGCGCAAAAGGGGGGAGGGGGGGGTAGCTTCTGAGGGGCGGACAAAAAAGGAGAGGGGAGGGGCTTCCGGCAGGAGAGGTTCAAGGGAGTGGGGGGTAGCAATAAGCCCCCCCCCCTTTGGAAAGGGAGGCAGCTTCCGGAGCGCGAGTAGGGGAAACTTCCGAGGGCAGGAAAAAAAAAGAAAATGGGGGGGGGGGAGGGGGACTGGGCTTCTGGCAGAGGTCCCAGGGGGGGGGGGGGAGCTGAGGGTGGGCCACCTCCCCCTTTTGGGAGTGAGCCACGGGCGCGCTCCCTCGGAGCTGGCCCCTGGGCGTCGCGGCGCGAGCGCTACCGGCGAGGCCACCGCGGCGGCTCTGCGCCCAGGCCGCCTCGCGCAGCCCTCCGCCGCCCGTCCCGCTGCAGGATGCGCTCGGCGGCCCCAGGCGCCCCCGGGCGACGGCGGGGGGCTGGCGGGGGAGGGCCCAGCGTGCCCAAGAGCGGCAGCTCCCCCCTCCTCCACCCCTCCCAAACTTGAGGGGAGCTCTCTCCTCCCTTCTCCTACGCTCAGCAGGGGACCCTCTGGACCAGCCAAGATGGCCCCAGCGCCAGAGGGCGACCAGGCAGCGGCCTACGTGTCGGCAGGGTTCTAGTGCGGCCTTTCCCGTATCCTTTGCGCTCTGACGGCATGCGATAGGTGAAACGCCAGGCTGAGTCCCCCCAAAAAGGTCCTTCCCCATTCCTTGATCCTCCCCTCAACAGGTTGCCTCTTCCTTGGGGGCATCCTGGGCGCCTCCCTAGGCTTCAATGGTGGGCCTCCGAGTGTGTTCGTGGACCTCCCCAGGATGGATCTCGCAGTCCCTTGCTCCCCCAGGATACATACGATAAGAAACCCTACTCAAAGGCAGGCGGAGCGCCGAACTGGGTCGGCGATCCCAATGGCCTTCAGCCTCTGTAGCTGGCGGCCCCACTCTGTGGCTACTGGAGGGCCTGCAATTTGCAAATGTTGCCAAAAAGACGAACCATCCACAGGATGAAGGCCCGCCAAAAAGACGCTTGCAAACAGTGTGTCGATTCCCCTCGTGGCCCCTGGCGACCGCAATGGGCTGGTGGAGGAGGGCTCGGCGGTACCCCAGAGCGGCAGCTCCGATTACAGCAGAAGCATACTTAAAATAAGAAGCTCTACAATCACAAATCTAGGGACACACTTGTCCTCCATCGTCGACCTTTCTGAGGTACCGCAGGACTTATGTGGGTCCCTGGGGCCTCTGGGGGATACGGTCGGGAACGTATGGATAGCGTGTCGCCGCAGCCGCTCCGGCGACGCGCTATGCCTTGCGAGCGGATAGCTTGTCGCTCCGCTCCGCGTGGCAGGAGGTTCGGAAAAGCTCGGGACGCGCTGTCCCGAAGCTCCCGACTGTAAGAAGCTCCCGTGGGGCAGGTGGCCAGAAAACGCGCAGGGGGCGCCACGCGCAGCAGACCAAACTCAAACGTCGGCTTGCGTGGGCGACTCATCTTAGAAAGGGGGGTCGTGCCTTCTAAGAAGGGGGGGGTGCTTCCAAGAAGTCCTCCCCTCCACAAATCCCGCCACAAGAAAGCGCGGGGGGGCTCACTGGCAAGCTGGCTTCTCCTCCGATGCGCCTGCTGCAGGGCAAGCGGCGGCCCGGCAGGTCTGCCTCGAGGGAGAGATCTGCCGGTGCCGGCAACGACGAGCTGGCGGAGGAGGAAAGACGGGCTCCGCTCCGAGGGGGGGGCCTCCTCCTCCTCCCCACCCCCGAGGGGCCGTGCGGGGCGACTGCAAACGTGCTAGGATATGCGGGGTCGGCATCAAGGAGTTCCTGCTTGGCACATCTCCGCCTGCGCTGGGATCGGCCCCACGGCCGGCCGCGGGGGCTCCTGCGGCGGGGAGCCGAGGCTCGAGACCCCCCCCCCCCCGAGGGCGCCTCTGCTGGTGCTCGCCGAACCACCTCTGGAGGAGCTGCCCGTGCTCGGGCGCCTCTGTCAGGGCCCAGCTGTCGTCCTCGAGCCTCCCCTCTCGAGGCGGGGGGTGGACCAGAAGGGAGGCGGAGGGACCGAGGAGGAGGGAGGAGGTAAGCGAAGGAGAGAGGAGGCGGCAGAAAGGAGGGGCGGGAGGCAGAGGGAGGAAAGAGAGAGGCTTGAGGGTGTTGACGCCTTCTGGGGGGGGGAATCGGGTTCCAGGGTGATGAGGAGACTCCTTGTCCACCTCAGCCTCCTCCTCATCATCTCCCGCCAATTACACCTCCTCCTCAACCTCCTCCTCCTCGTCGTCCTGCCCATGGTCCGCTTCCTCCTCCTCCTCATTCTCCTCCTCCTCCTCCTCCTCCGCCTCCGCTTCCTCCGAATCCTCCTCCTTGGCCACCCCTACTCCTTTTCCCGCCCCTGCCCGTCCGCATCGGCCTCACATTAATCGTCCACCTCCTCCTCGTCCTCGTCCTCGTCCTCCTCCTCCTCCTCCTCCTCCTCTTCCTCCTCCTCCTCCTCGTAATAGTTTGCGTTCTCTTGTTCGTGCTCCCCCTCCTCTTGTTCCTCCTCCTCCTCCTCCTCCTCTTCCTCATTATCCTCCTCCTTTTTCCTCCTCGTCCCCGTCCTCGTCCTCGGCCTCGTCCTCGCCCTCGTCGTCGTACTCCTCCTCCTCCTCCTCCTCCTCCTCCTCCTCCTCGTCCTCCTCCAGTCCTTCCCCTTACAAGTAACTTCTCCCTGTCGCACCCCGGGGCCAGTTTTTAGGGCGGTCCTGGCGTTCCGCCTGAGCTGCCTCACCAGCTATGACCCTGGAACTTCAACATTAACAACAGTTTCACATATGGAGGGCGGGTCGTTTTCAACATGCCGCTCTCGCCTTGGCGCCGCGCACATTCGTGTACAACTTGTCGGCAGCTTCACACACGGAGGACGGGTCGTTTTCAAAATGTGGCTCTCGCCTTCACGCCGCGCACATTCGTTTTTGTAAATCCTGCAAGGGCTTCACGGATTGAGGGCGGTGCCTTTTCAACATGTGGCTCTCGCCTCAGCGCCGCGTGCATTTGCAAAAGTTTCACGGAATCCCACGACCAGCGTACCAGACATGGTGTTTTGGAAGGAGTCGGGATTTTGATGGTGCAACCGTTACGTGGATTCGCGGTGCTGAAGTCCCAAGCATGGCGTTCGGGCACGACCCAGGGTCGTCAAGACGCAACAATCAGGTTGATCCGTGGCGTTGAAATCCCGAAAACCATGTTTGGGCATGTTGCAGGGTCCTTATACGGTTGCCTTCCAACGAGGCAATTCCATCAATGGGAATGAACCGCTGTAGGGGCCTATGAAAAGGGAGCTTGGAGGGAGGGTTTACTCCAACATCGTTGATGACGTTTGGGTTTACACTGGTCCTCCTCCTCCTCCTCCTGATCATCCTCCCCCCCGTCCTCCTCCTCTTCCCTCTCCCCAGCGTTCCTGATCCAGTGACCCTCGTCGGGCGGGCCCTGTGCTTTCACGGTCGCTCCGAAGAAGATTCTCCTGCGGCCCCACGCAACCCGGGTCTCTGCCCAGCCCTGAGGACGACGCCGACGACGACGAAGACGACGACGAAGACGAAGACGACGACGAGAACGAGAACGAGAACGAGATCAACGCCGCGACAGCGACGACGACGGTGAAGATGAGGACGAAAATGAGAGGTAAGAGGCAATGGGAAGGGGGGAATGGAGGAACGGATGGATGGAGGGAGGGAGGAAGAGGGAGGAAGAAAGCTATGGAGGAGATGGATCAATAAGGGATGTCGAGGATGAGGACGAGCAGAAGCCCCTCGGACCTCAGTGCAAACATGGGCGTTAACACGCGCACGCACGCACCCGCAAACACATAAGCAGACACACATACATTCATTCATTCATTCATTCATTCATACATACATACATACATACATACTTACATACATACATGCAAACATACATGCATGCATGCATACATACATACATGCATGCATGCATACATACACATACATACATACATACATACATACAAACATACATACATACATGCATACATACATACATACATACATACACACATACATACATACATACATGCATGCATGCATGCATACATGCAATCCCGCACACAAGCGAACACATAATCAAACAACCAAATAACCATGGAACAAACACACAAACCATCACACAAACAAACAATCAAACACACAAACACACGAACACACACAGCAAACAAACATTCAACAAACAAACACATACATATATACATATATATACACACCGATATACACATATATACACACAGACATGCATACACACATACATACATACAGACGTGCATACATACATACATATATACATACATGCATGCATACATACATACATACACCAGTAGCTACCTGATGACACACCCACACTGACAGACTTGTTCTACCAGCGCGAGGACTGCCCAGTGGCGGAGAGAAGGGGCAAGCAGGGGGGGAGGGAGGGAGGGGCGCGGGCGCGCGGCCCGCTTCCGCGCGTTTGGTGGCGCCGCTACTTCAACTAATTCGCCCGTTGCTTCGGGCGCCCGGGGGCGCGCGGCGAGCTGCGCCCGCAGCGCCGCCCGCCAGTCGGCCTTCGCGCCTCTGGCGCGGGCCGCGGGCAGCAGTAGCAGGCCCGCCGCGCGCGGCGGCAGCGTCGCCGCCCAGCCGGCGCACGGCCAGCTCGCCAGCCCCCACCACTGCGTCGCCCATCCGCCGCAAAGGAGGCAGGCGACCCAACCCAGCCCCTGGGACGACGCGCGCGGGCGCCAGGCGTGGCCGGCGAACACTTCGGGGATCTACTGACCTGGGTCAATCCAGAGCCGGGCCAATCAATCTTCGGGATCCTGCAAGATCCTGCAGGATCCTGCGCCCAAGCCAGGGTCAATGCGACCGTGGCTCCGCAGGATCCTGCCAGATCTGGCGCTCTGACTGACCCCCTTTGCATTGACCCCCGTCTAATAGGCTCTCGAACGCCGACCGAATCGCGGCCGCCTCCGCTGGCGGGGCAGTTGGCGGATCAGCAGCGGCCGCGCCGCCCGCGGCCGTAGGCCTCGCAAGGCGGCCCAGCGGGGCCGCATGGGCCCGCCGGGGCCGCGCGGCGCGCGGCGCCGTCCCGCGACGCCGAACGCGCGGCCCTGCAGCGCCGCACAGCGCATGGTTGGCATTGAACGCCGCAAGCTCCACGAACGCCAACACCCATTGCACCGCGGCCAGCGCGTCGAGAGGCCGCTTGCGCTCCTGGCACATCGCGGTTGCAGGCATCCGGGCGGGCCTCGGCGGCCAGCCCCGCCAGGCAGCCCGTTTCTGCGTTGCCCGCGCGGTATTCTCGGACATCCCGCGCCCCCGCGCCTGGTCGGTGTCGAGGTGCGCCTTGATCCAGCGGGCGCGCAGCACCCCGCTGCGGCAACGCAAGGCGGTGGCCTCCCAGAGGTCTGCGTGCGCCCACTCCGCCGGGCTGGGCTGGCGCCGCCCCAGAGTGCGGCGACCCCGCGGCTGACGAAGCGGGAATCTGCGACCACCTCTACGTAGCCACCCGCCATGTACAGCGCCTGCACGCATGCCCAGACTTTTGAGCGGCACGGTTTTGCTCCATCTACCGGGCCATGGCGGTCAACGCGGCCCCCAGCGCCGCCCTCGAGGTGGGCGCCCCAACCACCGCTGGCGAGGAGGGGTCGCCCGGGCGCGCGCAGGATGCGTCCGTCCAGGCGCACGGCCTGCGCTGCGCCACTACCTGGAGACCGGCCAATGAGTCGGGGAGCGTGGGCAACGGCAAAGGCAGCCGAGCCTCCTCCGCGAGGACCGCCAGGCGAGGGCTCTGGCGCAAGACGCCGGTGCGCGCTGCCTCGCGAGGCAGGCAGGCAGGCAGGCAGGCGCGGGCGGCCTCTGCACTGAAACCCTATGGCTGCAACGCTGCTCGGCGCTCGGGCTCCCAGCGCGGGCAAGTCCACATGCGGTGCTCGAGATCCCCCACAGGCGCGCCGCAGTGCGGGCAGGCGGCAGGCTGGCCCATTTCGCAACAACGGACTCAGTGATCGGTGATCGCCTGCCTGCGAGCACGGCGCGCCGCGCCCCTGCGGCGTCCGCCACCAGCGAGCCGCTGGTCAGGAACCGCCTCGTTGCCCAGCGGTCGACACCAACGTCGACGTGCCAGAAGTCAACGCGCCTGCTGGCAAGTCGCTGGGCCTCGCGCTGGGACCAGGCCTCCAGTAGCACCGCTCGCGAGTCTTGCAGGGGCTGCTGGGCGGGGCGGGAAACCAGCGGTGCTGAAGGGATTACGCGGCCTGCCACAGAGGCGCGGTCATCACCACCGCCGCTGGGTCCAGCCTCCACCTCGGGGCAAGGGCGCCGAAACCAATTTCGGCGGTTTTGTGCAGCCCCCCACGGCAGAACGCCTGGCGCTCAGCCGTGCGGAGGTCGCTGAACGCCGGCTGCAGGCAGCTCCACACAGCCCAGCTGCAGTGCCCGCCGCCGCCCTCAGTCAGCATGTGGCGCTGGCCGAACCTCTCCGGCAAACGCCCGAGCCGCCCGAAACGGCCCTGTGCGCCGTTGAACCGTGCGGACGCAGCGGCGCACCGACGGCCACAGGCTGTGTTGGCGCCGACTCCCAGGTCACGAAAGTCCAGGCTCGCCTGGACGCGGAGCGCCTGCTGCACCTCCTCGGCCGCGTCCGCGCCGAGGCTGGCCGCGACCCGCCCCCAGATGGTGAACCATCGACGTGCACACCTCTGCGGAGATTGTCGCCAATAGCGCCCGTGCGGCGCACCCACGGGTACGTGAGCACAGCCAGGATGAACACCGCCAGCAGGCAGCCCAGCAGCAAACCGTTCGTGGGCAGCCACGGGTCGCCGAGCGCCTGCCCAACACGGACCCTGCGGCACGCTGTGTAGGCGCTCAGCGCTGGCTTTTGGATCCACGCAAGATAGACAGCGCGCTCGAGGACGCCCGGCAGCGTGCGGAGGTCGACATTGTCATACGCCTTAGACCAGTCAAGCGTTTCCCTGGCGATCTCCTCGGACAGTGCGTCCGCCGCTTCCAGCTCCAGGGCGAGCTCCCATGCCTGCTCTTTTGCGCCGCGAGGCCACTCGCTGCCGTCCCACGAAGAACGCTTCTGCGAGAACGAACGCGCACGCCCTGCCGCCCAAAGGCGGTACACATACACCCACACACACATACACCAAATGAAATCGTCCTCTGCCACACCGATATCATATGGTTTGTCCTGCTCATCGTCACCCCAACCACCATGATATCACCACCACCATCACCACCACAACCACCACCACCACAACCAGCATCATCGCTATCCATCATCATCATGATCATCACAATCATCCTCGTCACCACGATTCTAGATCGTCAGGATCAGCATCATCATCTGCACCACCACCATCAACATCACCATCACCATCACCATCATCATCATCATCATCATCATCAGCATCATCATCTGAATCGACATCATTATCATCGGCGTCGTCATTATGTTCATTATTATCTGCATCCTCGTCATCATCGTCATCATCACCGACAGTATCATCACCATCCTCGTCATCATCATCATCATCATCATCGGTGTCGTCGTCGTCGCCGTCATCATCACCATTATCGTCGCCATGGTCATGGTGGTCATGATACTCCTCACCACCATGATCATGATCAAACACATCAGCTTCATCATCATCACCACTTGTGCATCATCACCAACATCATCATCATCGGCACCATCAGCATCATGATCATTCTGACGTCCCCAGCAATTTTCCACTAGCGGCCTGCGCGCTGTGATCGGGGAGTTCAGATGGCCTCTCCTTCAAGGTGGCACCAGCATGTGGAGCCGCTGCGACAAAACCCTCATCAACCGACGGAGTGCGTTTCCCTGACAAATTAGGAGCGTGAAGAAGTGGGCTTCCCTCCTTTTGCCACTGAGTACAAAGACCTCCAAGCAATCATCCTCCTCCTCCCTCTCCTCCCCATTCTCCTCTTGTTCGCTCTCCTTCCTTCCCCCCTCGTTCCCACCACCACCACAATCAATCAGTATCATGATCACCATCAACATGATCATCATCATCATCACCATCATCGTCGTCGTCGGCGGCGTCGTTGTCGTCGTCATCAGCATCTCAACCACCCCACCGTCACGTCCACCAGTACCATCATCAGCAGTTTCTTCATCATCATCATCATTGCCAGGACTATTACCATAACCAGCATCATCATCATTGCAATAAGCATCGTCTTCACCATCGTCATCACCACTTTCGTCATCATCATCATCATCATCATCATCATCATCATCATCATCATCATCATCACCGTGCCCCTTCCTCATCCTCCTTCCTATCCTGTCCTTCCTCCCCGTCCTCACCACAAACACAACCAATCATCATCATGATCGCCATGGCTGCCATGACCATCATCATCAACATCATCATTAGCATCACCACCACTATCACCATCACCACCACCCACCGTCAGAGGGATCGCGTTTCACGGGCACTTGCCTTGGGAACATTCGGCGGCGCGTTTGAGCCGGGGGAGGCGCCCCCCCAAGAACGTTCGGCGCCGTCGAACAGAACCACGGGGACTCCCGCCCCCCTTCCCCCCCACTCCCCGAACCCCCCCCCCGGCACCGGCGCTGGTGCGTCGGTGTTGGCGCCAGCGGCAGCGGCGGAGGCGGCTGGCAGCGCCGACGGCGGCCACGCGGCGACGATGACCAGGACGAAGACGACGACGACGACGACGACGACGACAAGGTCCCTTGAATTCCTCTGTCTTCGGCACTGGGTGTGGGAAAGATTGACAGGCCAAGACCTAAAATATAAAAAGATATTCCTCGCGTTGCGTCACGTGCCTCCCGCGCTTTCCGTCGTCGCGGGCCGTCGTCGCCGTAGTCAACGTCGTCGTCGTCGTCGCCGTCGCTGTGTGGTCGTCGTCACCGTCGTCGCCGTCGTCGTCGTCGCCGCCGTCGTCTCAGTCGTCGTCGTCGCCGTCGTCGCTGTGGTCGTCGTCGTCGTCGAAGTCGTGGTCGTCGTCCTCGAAGTCGTCGTGGTCGCCGTCTTCACCGTCGTCGCCGTCGTTGTCGTCGCCTTCGTCGTGGTCGTCGTGGTCCTCGTCGTCACCGTCGTCGCCGTCGTCGTCGTCGTCGTTGCCGTCGCCGTCGTCGCTGTCGGCGGGCGTCGTGGTCGTCGCCTTTGTCATCGTTGTCGTCGTCGTCGTCGCCGTCGTGGCCGTCGTCGTTGTTGGCGTCCTTCCCGTTGTCGTCGTCGTCGTCGTCGTCGACATCGTCGTCGCCGTCGTTATCGCCGTCGTCGTCGTCGTCGCTGTTGTCGTCGTCGTCGCAGTCGTCTTCGTCGTTGTCAACGCTGCCGTCGTCGTCGACGTCGTCGTCGTCAGGTTCGCCGTCGTCGTCGTCGTCACCGTCGTCGTCGCCGTGGTCATCGTCGTCGCCGACGTCGTCGTTAACGCCATCGTCGTCTTACTCGTCGTCGTCGTTAATGCCATCGTCGAGGTCGTCGCCGTCGCCGTCGTCGCCGCCGTCGTCGTCGTCGTCGTCGTCGTCGCAGTCGCCGTCGTCTTCGCCGTCGTCGCCGATGTCGTGGGTCGTAGCCGTCGCCGTCGTCATCGTCGTGTTCGTCGCCGTCGTCGTTACCGTCGTCGTTGTCATGCTCGTCATCGTCGTCGCAATCGTCGTCGTCGTCCACGTCGTCGTCGCCGTCGTCGTCGTCCCCGTTGTCGTCGTCGTCGTCGCCATTCTCGTCGTCGTCGCCGTCGTCGACGTCGCCGTCGCCGTCGTCACAATCGTTGTTGTCGTCGTCGCCGTCTTCGTCGCCGCCGTCCTCATCGTCGTCGTCGATGCCGTCGTCATCGTTGTCGTCGCCGTCGTCGCCGCCATCGCCGTCGTCGTCGTCGTGTTCGTCGTCTTCGTCGTCGCCATCGTCGCCAACGTCGTCGTCGTCGTCGCCGTCCTCGCCAGCGCCGCCGCCGCCGCCAGCCGGCGCCAGCGCCAGCGCCAGCCCCGAGGAAGCGGGGGGGTTTGAACCCCCCCCTCCCCCATTTGAATCGTCGTTGTCGACGCTTTCCGCCGCCTCCGACTGCCGCCGCCAGCGCCGGCACCGGCCCAGGAAGGGGGGCCGCCACCAGCGCCGGCGAAGGCCTGGGGTGTGGGGGGTTCGAATCCCCCCCCCCAAGAGGAGGGGGGTTGAAACGCCCCCCTTTGGAACCAGAGGGGTGGGAGGGAGTTCCGAACCTCCCCCCTTCAAGCGCCCACAGAGTGCGCTCTTTCCACAGCATCATCAGCATCACCAACATAATCAACAAAAACAGTATTGTCAGTATCATCAACATCATCATCGACATCATCAAACCATCAGCAGCATTATCAACATCATCATTCTGATTGTCATCGTCACCACCAACACCATCGTCATCATCATCATCAACAACATGACCATCACCATTTTCACCATAACCATCATCACCATCACCGTCACCATCACCATCACCACAAATTATCACCATCACCATCGCCATCCCCCTTCTCCCTCTCCTCCCTCTCCACCCAGTCCTCATCGTCCTTACAACCACTACCACAACCAATCTTCTTCATGCTCATCATGATGGTTACCACCATCATCATCATCATCATCATCATCACCAGCGGCATAATCACCATCTTCATCACCACCATCATCATTACCATCAACATTATCACCGTCATCGCCATAGTCATCATCACCATACGTAACCATCGTCGTCATCATCGTCATCATTATATCATCTTCATTCTACTCAGCATCGTCACCAACATCACCATCACCACTACCACCATCACCATCACCATCCCCCTTCTCCTCTTCCTCCCTCTCCTCCACTTCCTCGTCGTCCTCACCACCACCACAATCAATCATCACCATGCTCATCATCATGACCATCACCATCATCACCATCATCAACAACAACATAATCACCATCATCATCACCACCGTCATCATCATCATCAGCATCATCATCGTCATCGTCATTGTGATTTCCAACAGACGTAATCATAGCCGTCATCATCATCGACATCAGCATCATCGACATCATCATCATCATCATCATCATCATCATCATCATCATCATCATCATCGTCATCACCATTGTCATCGCCATCGCCATCATCATCACCATCTCCTCCTCCTTCTCCTCCTCCTCCTCCACCTCCTCCTCCTCCTCGCCCCCCCCTTCTGCCCCTCCCTCTGCCATCCCGCCTTCCTCCGGGAGGCGGCGGCCGTCCTGACCGCCGGCGCGCTCCTGGAGGCAGACGCCCGCGCCACCATGGCCGGCTTGAACACGCACTGCGGGCGCCGCCGCCGCCGACGTCCTCGCCGTGGCCGCCGTCGTGATCGCCGCTACCGAGGTGGTCGCCACCGCCGCCGTGGTGGCCGCCACCGCCGCGGTCGTGGTCGGCCCCGTCGTGACGACGTGACGGGAAGGTGGGAGCAACGGCAGGAGGCAGAAGGCGGGCGTCTCCTTCCACTCCCTGCTGCCCCCGACCTCCATCATGAACTGTTTCGTCCAGTTCTCCTCGATGCGCACGTCCGACTCGAACTTCTCCCTGCGAGGCAAAGGGCATAGAGGACCAAACAACTGCGTAAACTTTCGGGGCTCCACGCGGAGCTCCGAAAATTAATGTTTAAGATTTTCTGTTTCAAAAATCGGGCTCTGCTTCTAGAATCCGAAGGTCTTGATTTGTTCAATGCGGGGTCCCCAGAGAGCCAACCGCTTTCTGCAGGGCCGCCTTCTCATCCAGGGTCGCTCGTAGCCAGTCCCAGGGCCCGCGAATGCACATGGAGGCCGACAGTCGACACAAAACTTCCGTCGCGATTCCTTCACGGCGCGAGAAAGCCGCTGTCTTGCCCTTCGAGGCCAAGGACGGGGACGGCCGAGCGGCCACAGAGCGCGCGATGGCGCGCCCCGGGGGACGGGCGGAGCTGGCGCGGCCGAGCCTGGTCGTCATCGCGGGGAGCTCCTTCGGCTGCCCGTGCTCCTCCTGACTCCTCTCTCCTCCTCTCTCCTCCTCCTCTCTCCTCCTGTACTCCTCCTCCCCCCTCCTGCTCCTCCTCCTCCTCCTCCTCCTCCTCCTCCTCCTCCTCCTCCTCCTCATCAGCATCAGCATCATCACCATCATCCCCTCTCCTCTCTCCTCTCTACTCTCCTCCTCCTCCCCCTCCTCCTCCTCCCCCTCAGCCTCCTCCTCGTCCTCATCCTCATCCTCGTCATCCTCCTCCTCATCATCACCAGCATCATAATCATCACCACCACCATCACCATCACCATCACCATCATCACCACTCACAATCATCACCAGCAGCAGCACCACTTCCACCATCATCATTATCATCATCATCATCATCATCAACATCATCATCATCATCATCATCATCATCATCATCATCATCATCATCATCAACATCATCATCATAAGCAGCAGCAGCATCATCAACACCAGCATCCCTCCTGAATCCGCTTCATCCTCCAGGGCCTTGTCCTCCTCCCTCCTTGCCACGGCCCCCTGAAAAGCAGGAGACACGGGGGCACAGCACGGTGCACGGGGTGCCTCAATCCACCCATCTCCTTCTCAATGCGTTCGTATTCGCGCTGCTTGTCTTTCTCGAGAAGCTCTCTCAGGCTGGATTCGTCTTCCTCGAGGCAAGGCGCGGCGGAGTAAGATGTCGACAACGGGCACGCTGCACCATTGATGCCAACACACCCCCATGAGTTATCATCAAAACGCCTCTACCACTTCCCTCTTCCTCTCCCTGGTTTCTCCATCAGCGCCTCCACTCCGCACCTCCCCTCCATCCCCCCCTCCCAGCCCCACATCCTTTCCGTACCTCCCTTTCTACGTTCCCCGCCATCCCACCACTCCGTGCCTGCACCTCTCCCCCCGTCATCCAGTCCAGGGCGTCACGGCACCATGTCAACCGTCCCAAAGCTTCTGAGTCACGTGAGTGCCAGGTCTCAGGCCCCCCGCGGAGGCGGAGGCTGCCATGTACATGTTGTTTTGTTTGCTTGACTTTTCGGTCACTCGACGGCTCAGGCCTGAAGCGACCCGACGACCGTTGAGCACGACCGCGCGTCAATGCCACCGTCCGCCGCCGCCCCTCCCTTCCCTCAGCCCCCCTCTCCTTCACTGCCTCCTCTCCCGCCCCTCCCATCTCTACCATAACGCGCTCATGGAGATCACCGTGAGAGCTTGCCACGATATCGACGAGGCGCTACGCGTGCGCGAGCTCCCATCTGCAACCTTCCCTGGAACTCTCCCCATCCGCCCCTCGCCTCCTCGTCCTCTCCTCCCCTGCAGCGTGCGAGCTGCCTGCCGTTTGCCAAGGTGGTAACGAGTTCCCATCCCCATGGCAAGCTGCGCCACACTTGCTTCGCATGAGCCCCCTCCCCCGCCCTCGTGGCGGGGCGGTCGGGCTTGCGCCGCGTGGGGGGGGGGGGGCACGGGCTGCTGCACGTGCCACGCCCAGCGCCCCCTCCTCCAGCCCCACCTTGCCCTCCCCCCCCCCCTGCCTGCCCCCCCCTCGTCCTTCCGCGTTTGCTCTCTTCCCCCCCCCCCCTCTCCTCCTCTAACATCTGTTCCTTTCACGTGTTCTCCCCTTCCTCATCTAGCCCCACCGTGCCGTCCCACCCATCCCGCATTCGCTCTATGCCCCCCTTGCTTGCCCCGCCTCCCCCCCACATCCTCCTTTGGCGAGCTGGGTATTCAGAGATGACTGGGACTGCTCCACACAGGCTGAGGAAGCACGCGTGAGACACCCGTGCTGCGCGTCAACGCGTGGACAATGCCTCGACGGAAACGATCAAGCACAAGTCACGGAAAGGGGCCCAGTAATTGCCGGACGGCAAGTGGGCGGATAGTCCACGAAGGGCAACGTGAAAGATCGCAGGCAGCAAAACGCGAGGCGGGAGAAGGGCAAGCAACAAAAAGGAGAGGCAAGCACTGCATAAGCCGAGCCCTGGCTTGGCCGAGCCTCCGTGGAGGGTATCGCCAGTCCCCGCGCTCCTGACGCTCCAAGTACAGCCTCTGCTTGCGATTGTACCAGCTGGTCTTGGCCCGCTCCAGCTTGCACATACACTCGGGGGGGATTCTCTGCCCGATCGACATGTGCATCTTTCTCTATTTCCCTTCTCTCTAAACCTCTCTCTGCATATATGGTACCACTGGCCATGTCTCTCGATGTATGGATACATTGTCATTTCGACACGCGCACACACACGGGAGGCATAGCTATACTCGTATATGTACATATATATATATACAAGTAGAGTTACAGCGTGTAGACCTATACCGAGAAATATAAAAACAAAGCGAGAGAAAGAGATACCTGTGGGAGAAGGAGGGGAGAGAGAGAGAGAGAGAGAAACAAATAAATAAAACACGAGAGAGAGAGAAAGAGAGGGATGGAACCATATTGAGAAATAGAGGGAGAGGCAGAGAGAGAGAGAGAAGAAACTGGGAAATACAAATAGAGAGAGAGAGAGAAAGAGAGGGAGGGAGGGCAAGGGGATAGGTAAGAAGAGAGAAGCACGGAGAAGGAGAGAGAAGGAGACACGATGTCGGGCGGAAGGCAGCCATCGCAGTGGGCGAGGCTGAAGCAGACGTCGGTCGCCAGGCAGTCGAATCACTATAGCCGATCGATGGGCTGCGCCTGCCCGCGTGCACCTGACACCCGCACAAGTGCACGGACACCACCGACAGCAGCCGCCGACTGGTCCGTGGGGAGCTCTCCGCGGCCCTTGCGCGGAGACAGGCTGGGAGTGTGGAGCAGCCTGCTCCGGGGAACTGGCCGTGTTCTGCACGGCCCGCAGGGCCCGCGCGGACATGCGCTTGAGCGCGTCCCGGGGGACACTTGGCCTTGTGGGCGGTCCATGCCCGGCCCGTCCGTGCCCGTGCCGCCCGCCCTGGGGGCAGGGCGGGTGCGGATGGAATGGATGCGGGCTTCATCGAGCGAGAGAGAGAGAGAGAGAGCACACAAAAAGAGAAAGAGAAAGAGAGCGAGAGAGAGAGAGAGATAGACAGAGAGGGAGACAGAAAGAGAGCGAGAGAGAGAGAGAGACACAGCAAAGTCTCGAACCAGTGCTAGCCAGACAAATTGGCGAGGTGTCGAACGAGTACTATCTCCCAGGGCCCGACACGTGAAAACCATCCAGCTTCGGTACTTCCTTGGTACTCGAAATTCTTGCTGGCGATCAAGGCTACAGAGGTTGGAACATCATAACCTTAGGGCCCCATCCCTCAAGGCCGTCTCTGCACCGCAGACAGCGGGGCCCACACCCGAAGGCCGATCCCAGCGAAGGGCCACTCCGACGTGACGCCGAGAGACTTCGGAGGTCAGAGAGCCTCGGATCTGATTTTTCAGTCCGCGGCCCTGGAACTCTCGACCTCTTCCACGGGGAGTTGTGTTCCTCCCGGATCCATCGTTGAGGGCCCCAGGGCCTGACAACAGAGGAACGAAGAACTGCACAAACAGAATGTCTGGGAGGTTCGCGCAGGGATGTCTTGGATCGGGGGGACCCCTGGCGCCGCCTCCGGCGGCGCCCCTGGGGCGCTCCGCGCCTCACGGTTGAGGTGTTGAGGCCGCACCACGCCACTCGGGGGACCCGTCGGGGCCAGCTGAAACTACTCGGGAGGTCTGCCGAGGCCAGCTGGGGCCACCTGAGGGAGGGGCTGCCTGTGCACGACCCGAAGCCTGACCTCCCCCCTGGCACGATTTTGGAATCCACGGCCCCAGAGGTTCCGACCCTTTCCCCGGGGGTACTTCTGCGCCCAAGCTGTGCTTGATGCTAACGGGGCCCAAGAACGGGCCGACACACGCCGAGCTAGCCAACACGCCACGCACGAACACACACTGCAGTCTTCGAACACAGCACGTGCTGCGACGCAAAACGGGCGTGGCAGGGCAGCTGCGCTGAGAAGCCTCACCGGCCCCAGCGGGCCCGCACAGAAGGTCCCTCCGGCGATGGGGCCCCTCCTGCGCGCAGGCCGCGTGGGAGGTCCGGCCGAGGCGCCGGCGCGCCGAGGATGCCGGCGAGAGGCCGCATCCGTGGGGGGGAGGGGGCCGGCAGGCGGCCTCGCGGATGGCGGCCGACAGCTCCTGCCCGTGCGGGCGGGCGGCGCGCGGGCGGGGGGAGGCTCCAGGGAGGAGGGAGCGAGCGGAGGGGTGGGAGGAGGGAGCGAGCGGGGAGGGGGGGGAGGCATACCAACAGGGAGGGAAGGGGGAGGGAGGGAAGGAGGGAGGGATGACGGAGGAGGCGGGGAGGAAGAAGAGGGGGGCTGGGAGGAGGGGGGCCTCCTCGCCGTGCCCTTCTGCGAATCCTTTTTGCTTCTGCGACATGTTGGGAGAAGGGGGAGGAAAGCAGAGGGGACGATGCGGACAGGACCAAAGACCGCGCGTGCCGTCAAAATCAGCACCAGAGCATCCCAAGCAAGCAACCCTACCAACGCATGCCCTCCTGCGAATCCCACGCTCGCCCTCCATCTTCTCTCCCGCCCTCCCTCGTGCCCCCTCCCCTCCTCCCTGCCTGCCTCCACTCCCCTCCGCCTCTTCCTCTCCCTCTTCTGGTCTTTTCGTGCTTTCTGTTGTCAGGGCTGCCCCGACGACACGTGGCATGGTAGGAAAACACGTCCCCCAAAGGGGGCACGATCGAAGACGAGGAGGGCGAGCATCGAGGGCTCGGTGATATGCATGTTGAATGGCACGCGCACAACCCAAGAAGGAGGAAGGACCCAGGATCGTAGATGGGAATCGAGGGTACAGCAGGCATATACGATAACAAATCTTGCTCTACACGAGATTCTCGGGGCACACACCTCATTAGTCTCGAGCGCCGTGAGGTGCCGCCCCAGGGTTCTGCGGGCCCTTCGGGGGACAAGAAACGATCGTGGGGCACGCTGGGGAAAGATCCGACAAAGAAGTCTGCCGAATAAAAACTGTTCTTCCTATGATGCCCATGCATCAGAAGAAATCACCAACCAGGGCACCGCTGACATGCAATGCGAAGGCCCCGCTACCAGATAGACCTACGCGGGGGAAAAGGCACCAAACAGGGCACCATTGACGCGCATTGCACAGGCCCGGCTACCAGATGGGCCACCACCGCCAGCGAAGCCTCGCGAGGCCGTTCCCGAGGCAGCACCGCCAGCAGGCTCTCCATCGGCACACTTGTTGCAGCACCGCCAACGAGTTAGAGGCAGCACCATCGGCGTCAAGTTCAATGGTGCCATCACCACAACAGCCGCCATCATCATCAGCATCGAGCACAGTGGTGCCGCCGCTACCGCCGTCGTCGCATGCTATGGCCGAAGCCCCTTCAAGGACGCCAACGCCACCGCAGTGCAAATATGAGCACGGCGCACCTCCACCACAGAAAAAGGCCGTGACATACCACCTCCCATCTGGGAAACGACGCGCGCATCTCCCCACCAGATGCGTGGAACGGAAGCACCTTCTGCTCCATCAAATGAATGCCCGGAACGCATTAGCTCATGCGAATGACGATGTGCATCAGCATCTGCGCAACGTAGATGCGGGCTTCCATCGCCAGGACCCAAGCCATGCTCGTTTTCTTCTTCACGGGGTACCGTGCCAGCTGATTGTAGAACGGTTGTTATAGTTGCTGGCGGTATCCACATGCTG